AGCAAGAATATTTTCAGTCAATTCATTAAAAAACTCGTTATAATTTCCACTCGGCGGTCTATATATTGCTGCAATTGTTATTTTGACTTTTCTAGTCACGACCGTAATTACCAAGAATTCACCATCGTCCGAGAGATGGCTTAAAATTCTTTCACCCTGTAGTTCTTCGCGAGAAATTATGGCAACACCTCCACCTATTTTAGCCGTTCGTGAAACATGATGGTATCGATATTCATTTGAAGAGTCTATGCACTGATTTAGAATATATTCCGTATCCGGCTTAAGCCAGGTTTCAGTTATGATCAAGATATCAACTTGTTCTATAGCCAATATGCTCTGTATTTGATTTACTTTTTTCGCTAGAGAACGTATATTAATTACACCAACTTTCATAGCATTCGATTGAGACTCGGGTTTTTTATTTGATTTTAGTCAGTCGCTTTTCAAAGTTCTGAGCCAGGTTCTGGCTTCTGCATCAAGATAGTACCTGTTAATTACAACATTTTCCGGCCAAGAATTAGGTTGATCAATGATTGTTGCATGTTCGCCGTCAAATACACAGTGGAAACTTTTGTGGCGAGAATTTTCCTTTGTTATTTCCCTGATATGATTCAGAGGAAATCCTTTACTTTGACACCATGCGACTATATCACTTTCATCATTTGTCTGTTTAATTCTTCCAACATAGAGATGGCGTCGTGGTGGTGGCTTTTCTACACCTTTGAGTGCTTCTGTTACCACTTCTCCCGTAATTAGTAGTTTCTTTGGTCTGCGGTCATTTCTATCTTTGGAGCCTTTTCGCTTCGTAACCCTCGAGCTACCAGCTTCTGAGGATACACTTTCACGAGCATTTCTGATGAATGCCGAAGAATTCAGATTAAACTTCGCTGCCCCAGCATAATTGGTTTTGTTCTTTTCAATTATACTACTTGGTTCACGATATTGCTTCAGCGATAGCAGCTCAGACTTTAATTCGTGTACATCTTGCGCCATAGTCTTTATTGAGAACAGTTCTTGTCGCAGTTCATCAATAACTCGGAAAAGATCTCTTTTACAGGTTCCACAATCTGGGCAACTCCATTCAATGTGCCCAACCACCTTATCGGCAGTGTTGAGGCCAATACACGCAGAGTGGGCAGAAGCTTGACAACCGACGCATTTCACCGATTGATTGGTTAAAGCGTTTTGACATACTGTACAGTGGAGAGACGACATATTTCAATTGTCTTGCTGGGAATTATTGGTCGTTTCCGCTCTAAAATGAGCTGGATTTTGGTAGATTTGTTTAAAGATATTTCCAAATTCTCTTTGTCGTTTCCGCTCTAAAATGAGCTGGATAACATCCGGGAAATTGTTCGTGTCTTTTCTTGCTGTCGTAACCACTCTCAAATGAGCTGGTTTATCTTCTTTATCTGATTCTGTCAATTTCGATTTCCATCAACCGGATCTCTAAAATCCCTTCGTAGACAAGGGCTACCCAAGATAAGATGTTTATCCGGTTCGTCGAGACATATCTATCTATTTAATAAGTTTATCACAACAATTAGGCTAAAATCAATCGGACTGGGTTGAGTGATATATCATTTTAAAGCAGACTTACATTAGCAGACATACATTAGTGAGCAGACTTACATTAGCTTGTTTATGCTTGATTTAAGCCTTGAAAAGTTAGTTTTACTCTAATAAAGTTAGTATCTCAACTTTTTGTATTCTTCATCTTAAGAATCAAAAACTTCAAAAGTTGAGAACATTTTGAGAAATTATTTAAAAAAAAAATGTTTTTGTGTTTCTTGGTATTGGTCTTCAAAAATTGTTTTCTAATTTGATGTTGTACATGACTGACAAAAATGCCTACGCACTACTTTTTGGCTCAGATTCTTTTATCACAACAAGCCGAAAAAACGCCAATAATTGGAAAAATAAGTTCGTAGTTTTTTAGGACTGGTCGTAACCTTCTGTGCTACTTGCTCAGTACCCAGCTGTCCTTGTTTCGATTGATATTTATTCCTTTTTTAACCAATTTTGGTTTTTTCATTGCTAATCATCTTACTTTCTTGCACTAAAGGCCATATTTATTTTGTAAGTTGTCTGCTAATGTTATCATGGATTAATCGTAAAGACTTTCCATTCCTTTAATCTACGTAGTTAGAGGGTGAAAAAGTACGGGTTTAGCATAAATTAAGGTTAAATAAGTTCCGATTTCATTCGATCAACAGAATTACTCCGACTAAACTAAGGTGATTAACTTAATGTAATGGCAATCTCATCAAGTTTTTTCAGCAAACTTCTTTTGTTTAGCAGATGGCTAGTGTAATAGATTGTATGATTGATCGCATTCATTTGTACCAAAGTTACGGGTACCGCGACAACTTGCAACAAAGGACAGCTCGCAAAAACGACAACTCGCAGTTTTGCAAGAACAAGACCACTCGCAAAAAGAGACAACTTGCATAAAAGTCGAATGAAAATTGTTTTTTTTCCTTAATCTGATCGTGAAACAAAAAGCGGTAAAATAAAGTCTTTGAGGCGATCTGTGTATTTTATCTGTGATCATTTTTGTAAAGTATTGGGGGTTTAAATATTGCCATTTTGGCCCATCTGGGACAATTAACGCGCGATATATTTCGTGCTATTAACGCGTAAGCGAGAATTTAACCGTTCCAAACCGTTCCGTCTTAGGAATCGTTTCAAATTGTTTGAAAGAAGCTTATTTGCCATTATTGATTTGTTACAAGGAGCGAAATCTATCACTTTACTTTATAACGCGTGTGCGGGGATGATTTTCACAAAAAATCTAAATTTTTTAAGAAAAAAATTTTATTTGATTTTATTACATTAATTTTTTTTGTTATTACTGCTCTGTAGACCTTAAAAGGCAGTCGGAACATTCAGTGCTTCGCTCTGATACGAGCAGTCTTGTTGAGTTTTGAAATTGTTTGAAGTTTTCTGTTCTTTTGAATTTTCTGATTTCTAACAAAATATAAATGACTTATAAGTTCGAAGTTAAGCTCCAAAGACATTGTTCATTTCGAGCCCTTGTAAAAGTTTGTTCGCTCATTTGACCCCAAATTGACTGAATTGTGACTAAAATTTCAAGACAAATTTCATCAATAAGAATACTGATGCTTAATATTCGAAGTACAAATCTATTATCTATTATATATTTAAATGCGGGCTTCACTATCTCGCCATGTTTAAGCTTTTTCAACGTATTATTTTTGCATGTTTAAGCTATATCGTATATTGCCATGGTTAAGAATTTTTTTCGATTTTCCAATTTGATTTTAGTGGTTAATTTATCGAGTTTAAATTAAGCAGCCCAATATCGAATTAGGGGTTGCGAATTTGGCTTCCAATTTTGAATGCCCGAATCATTTTAGTTAACGAGATAAGCCAATTTTTGAGATTTTTTCAAAAATTTTCAGAAATTTCAAATAAATTAATTTACAAAACTTGAAGTTCCCAACCTTGTAGTTGGGTATTGTCAGAGTACTCTAAGGGATTACAAGCCTTGCCTCCAAATATGACTGTTCAAATCCTTGTAGTTTTCGAGATATGACGATTTTTGTGATTTTTTCAAAAATTTTCAGAAAATATAAATTCTTAGTTTTTTAAAAATCTGAAATTACCAACCCTGTAGTTAGGTCCTGCCAGAGTACTCTCAAAGGTTGCGAATCTTATCTCCAAATATGACCTCTCAATTCTTTGTAGTTTTCGAGATTTTACATTTTTTGTGATTTTTTCAAAAATTTTCAGAAAAACTAAAATTATGATTATTTTTTTAAAATCTGAAAATCCCAATCCTGTAGTTGGGTACTGTCAGAGTACTATCAGGGATTGCGAATCTTGCCTCCAAATATGACTGTTCAAATCCTTGTAGTTTTCGAGATATGACGTTTTTTGTGATTTTTTTCAAAAATTTTCAGAAAACTAAAATTATGATTATTTTTTAAAGATTTGAAATTTCCAACACTGTAGTTGGGTACTGTCAGAGTACTATCAAGGATCGCGAATCTTGCCTCTAATTATGGTTGCTCAATTCTTTGTAGTTTTCGAGAGGTGACGTTTTTTGTGATTTTTTCAAAAGTTTCAGAAAGTTTATATTAATTAGTTTTCACAATTTGAATTTTCCAACGCTATAGTTCGGTGTTGTCACGGTACTCTAAAGAGTTGCAAATCTTGCCACATACGACTGTTAAACGCGACTGCTCAAATGCTTTTAATTTCCGAGATGTGACGTTTTTTGATTTTTTCAAAGTTTCTCAAAAAACTTATCTACAAAGAAATTCAAAAAAGTTTGAAACTACTAACTTGATGAAGATGCAACCTTATTGTCAGCGTACACCCAGGCGTCTCAAAATCAAATCTTGCCTTTTAATATGAATGCTCAAATCTTTTTAGTTTTCGAGATAAGACTTTTTTTTCAATTTTTTTTTCCGGGAAACTTAGGTTTAAAACAATTCACAAAATTTTGGATTCCTAACCCTATAGTAGGGTGCTCTCAGGGACTCTCAGTGGTTGCAAATCTGGCCTCCAAATTTCTCCAGAGGCACATTAAGTTTTCGAGATGACGCTTTCAAAATGGTAATAAAAAGAAAGTTTAAAAGTTCGAAATTACCAACCCTGTAATTGGGTGCAGTCAGAGTACACAAAAAGTTTGCAGATGTTTTTTTTCCAAGATATGCGGTTTTTCATGAGCTGTCGAAAAACTTCGAAGCGCCGAAGGTGCGTTAAACGCTAGTCTTCTTATGAAGTAAACGATGTGCTGCGCCAGAGAGGCAACAAAACTACTGGCCCTTAGACAAAGTTTAACGGTAGAAATATAGGCTTGCTATATTTCTTCTTCAGAAAAATGGCGTAACGGTAATTTTGTTATAAATACTGAGCTAGCTGATGAATACTGAGCTAGAGTTTCGAACTTCGCGATTTTGTTTTCTGAATAATGCGAACCCATTTTATAATTTAAAACGGTTTCTTCTGGTGTAAAAGCTTTTTTGTTAATCAGTTTTAGATGTGTAGTATGTGAGACAGCTTGTGTTGAGGAAAGTAGATGTCTATAGATGGCGACCGCCTTTGACTATTCAATCGACAATTCATCTGCGGCGGCTGCCAGCGGAATAGACAGTGGAATTGAGGTGATTTTGATTTTGTTGGACAGAAACAGTAGTAATTAAACGTTAAAAAAAGAACTGGGTTCAAGTGCATAAGGTCTATATTATACTTGGAATGGTCCATTTTTCACAATCTTTTTGAACCAATGCTGGGAGGAGATCGTTCACTTGGGTAAACATGATATTTTCAGTCAATTAGAAAGTTGGTTGAAATTGGCGTTATCTGTTAGCGGATGGTCATTCACTTTTATAGTTCCCAAAAAATTAGTCATGGAAGATTCCTCGCATTTTCACAATTAAAATGATCAAAAATAGTTTTTAATGGTGCGTAGCTGCGAACAGCCAATTTTTGATCGTTTTAGATCGATCGCAACTTGACTAGTTCCAGTCCCGCAATGTCTGACGAAAGCAGTGCTGGAAAATCTAAACAATGCAGTATTGATAGCGGCAGTAAAAGTGCCAACGGCAATGTCAAAAAACAGACATCAGGAAACAACGCAGTCCTCGATATCAAAACAACAGCGGCGTCTTCCGGTGGCTTTTCTGGTTCCGGATCTCAACACAGTAGAGGCGGAAGCAGAGGAGCCGCTGCAGGGGGAGGTTCAAATGGTGCTGCAAAGAAGAATCTCTTACCACACAGCCTGTGAGCTCTCATGGTTTCGAAAGTGGTCTGAAAAACATCTGAACTGAGTTGGCAGAACTCAAAAACTTGATGTTTTACCTGACATAAAATTTCTATGTTAGCGTTTCAGATCTTTCAGAATCTGCTATATGGGTTAATTGACACTTAATTTCCCAGTTGTAATGTGCTGTTTTCACCATCTGTCTTTATGTTTAGACTGTCAATTCCTCCCAAGTCCACCGCAATTGAAAGCCAGCCACTAGTCGACCTCGAGAACCTAAAGTATGTATTGCGCCATCTTCACCTCTGATCCTTTATCACATCAGTAGTCTTAAACATGATTTGTGGATCAAGTAATTGGTGTTCAATGTTATAATTGTTGTTTTATATTAATTAGTTTTCACAATTTGAATTTTCCAACGCTATAGTTCGGTGTTGTCACGGTACTCTAAAGAGTTGCAAATCTTGCCACATACGACTGTTAAACGCGACTGCTCAAATGCTTTTAATTTCCGAGATGTGACGTTTTTTGATTTTTTCAAAGTTTCTCAAAAAACTTATCTACAAAGAAATTCAAAAAAGTTTGAAACTACTAACTTGATGAAGATGCAACCTTATTGTCAGCGTACACCCAGGCGTCTCAAAATCAAATCTTGCCTTTTAATATGAATGCTCAAATCTTTTTAGTTTTCGAGATAAGACTTTTTTTTCAATTTTTTTTTCCGGGAAACTTAGGTTTAAAACAATTCACAAAATTTTGGATTCCTAACCCTATAGTAGGGTGCTCTCAGGGACTCTCAGTGGTTGCAAATCTGGCCTCCAAATTTCTCCAGAGGCACATTAAGTTTTCGAGATGACGCTTTCAAAATGGTAATAAAAAGAAAGTTTAAAAGTTCGAAATTACCAACCCTGTAATTGGGTGCAGTCAGAGTACACAAAAAGTTTGCAGATGTTTTTTTTCCAAGATATGCGGTTTTTCATGAGCTGTCGAAAAACTTCGAAGCGCCGAAGGTGCGTTAAACGCTAGTCTTCTTATGAAGTAAACGATGTGCTGCGCCAGAGAGACAACAAAACTACTGGCCCTTAGACAAAGTTTAACGGTAGAAATATAGGCTTGCTATATTTCTTCTTCAGAAAAATGGCGTAACGGTAATTTTGTTATAAATACTGAGCTAGCTGATGAATACTGAGCTAGAGTTTCGAACTTCGCGATTTTGTTTTCTGAATAATGCGAACCCATTTTATAATTTAAAACGGTTTCTTCTGGTGTAAAAGCTTTTTTGTTAATCAGTTTTAGACGTGTATTATGTGGAATAGACAGTGGAATAGACAGTGGAATTGAGGTGATTTTGATTTTGTTGGGCAGAAACAGTAGTAATTAAACGTTAAAAAAAGAACTGGGTTCAAGTGCATAAGGTCTATATTATACTTGGAATGGTCCATTTTTCACAATCTTTTTGAACCAATGCTGGGAGGAGATCGTTCACTTGGGTAAACATGATATTTTCAGTCAATTAGAAAGTTGGTTGAAATTGGCGTTATCTGTTAGCGGATGGTCATTCACTTTTATAGTTCCCAAAAAATTAGTCATGGAAGATTCCTCGCATTTTCACAATTAAATTGATCAAAAATAGTTTTTAATGGTGCGTAGCTGCGAACAGCCAATTTTTGATCGTTTTAGATCGATCGCAACTTGACTAGTTCCAGTCCCGCAATGTCTGACGAAAGCAGTGCTGGAAAATCTAAACAATGCAGTATTGATAGCGGCAGTAAAAGTGCCAACGGCAATGTCAAAAAACAGACATCAGGAAACAACGCAGTCCTCGATATCAAAACAACAGCGGCGTCTTCCGGTGGCTTTTCTGGTTCCGGATCTCAACACAGTAGAGGCGGAAGCAGAGGAGCCGCTGCAGGGGGAGGTTCAAATGGTGCTGCAAAGAAGAATCTTCTACCTCACAGCCTGTGAGCTCTCATGGTTTCGAAAGTGGTCTGAAAAACATCTGAACTGAGTTGGCAGAACTCAAAAAACTTGATGTTTTACCTGACATAAAATTTCTATGTTAGCGTTTCAGATCTTTCAGAATCTGCTATATGGGTTACCTAGAGTATGTATTGCGCCATCTTCACCTCTGACCCTTTTTCACATCAATAGTCCTAAACATGATTTGTGGATCAAGTAGTTAAAGTTCTATGTTAAGATTGCTCTTTTTTGTTTAGTTCTGGAGAAGAGGACGACGGCTTTGCTTTGCCGCTGCCAGTTATTCAGCACAACGCAATGGGGAAGAAAGACGTTAGTACCACTTCTGAGTTTCCTTATGTTTCATTATATCAAGCAAAATTTTATGTTTATGTTAACCAAGTACCTTTTGAATCTGATTATCATTGCCCTCGGCTTTGTTGTACAGGCGATATTTTGCTGTAAACTCTCGGCAGCACTGGAAATAAAGCGTGGAATTTTGAAACAACTGCCCGGCCGCTTTCCTGATGCTAAAATTTTTCATTTGAAGTGTCATTAGGTAATTTGTTAAGCTGTTTTCAAGTTATTCTGTCTTTTTACTTGAAGTAAACGAAGTGAATTTTGCAAGTAGCTCTGTCTCTGTATCAACGAGGTACGACTACGAGTGAGTCTGATAGAATAGTTTTTATATGAAATTTTGTGAGAGTGCTTGGAAATCGATTCATAGCTTACAACTATATTTTTCTAAACGAGACAACTAACGAGAGATGTCTGTATTTTTCAGCAATCTCACATTTGTTTGATTTAGTACCGCCGAGTGCAGACGAAAGAGCCCTGGTCCCCCAAAGAGGTCCGTTTCGGAGGAGGAGGTGGTGGTGGTGGTTTTTCTCTAACTGACAGTGGGGACGAATTGGACCTGATCCCACCCTCGGTCCCCCGTTCCAGGTGCTCCTGTGTCAGTCTGTGTCCTTCTATGTTCTCTTACTCCTACCACAAAACCGGACAAAACTAATTTCAATATAAATCAAATGTTCAAATTTAAACAGAGGCATGAGAGTAGTTATTCGATATAATACGAATGAACAATAATTTTTTATTTCTCAGTTCTTTTTTTATGACCCACGCCTTGTATTTTCGGACTTAACTCTCTGTACAAAGCAAATGCAATATACAATTGTTTATTTTCTTACATACTCCATTTATATAGTTTATTCGTTTTTAGATTGTACATTTAATCATATACGATGGTGCATTGTTGTTCCTTATTGAAATCCCCTTTAATTAATTATCTTGAAAGTATATTTTTTAAAGCCTGTGTATTAGAATGCTATTCAGTTGAGTTCATGCAGGAAGCAGAAGCTAGGGATCACTAACTCAAAAAACAAACTTTTTCGCTGCAATGCTTGAAAGGAATTTGTTCTGCTGTACTACCGGTTCAAATTATTTCTGTCGTTTTTTCGATCTCTCAATGGAAAAAACTATGACAAAGCCTAGAGTTTTTTCAACTAACCCGAATGTAAATTAACTCGAACTGGACTATTTTATCGTTTAACTCGCTAGATGATCAAATTGGATTTTTACTGGTGATTGTTCATTACAACTTGATAAGGATGATGGAGGAGTCGAAATCGATAGGGTCTCTATTTAACTATCCCCCTCCCTATTGCAACTGGGGGAAGTCCGTTACTAGGTAAAAAAAAATCCGCTTATGCATATCCACTAATTTAATTATTTATAGGGTTTTTTCTACTAGGAACCATAGAAAAAGAAGGTAATTGAACCATAGTTAGCAGTTGAACCATAAAAGATAGTTGAACCATATTGGTAGTTGAACCATAGAAGGTAGTTGAACGATATGAACCATAGAATTAGTTGAAGATATCCATTTTGACCTAAACTTTGGCTAATACTTGACGATTTTACTTCAACAGAGGCCTACTAAATTAATATACATCAATCAGCGATGTTTCTCCTGGATATCTATTTTTGTTAGCAAGGAAAAAAATGATTGCAATGGTCCTTTCCACTACGTGGTCGGAACAGTAAAGCGTGAATATTTTTCTCAAATTTGTCGTGATATATTGTCGATTCTATACCTAATAAAGTATGACAAATAGCGATCCTGTTATGGGCACATGTGTGACAGATGGCGTACGGTACCAGTTCGAAATAATTCCAAGTAAATACGCCGCATGGTCGTTTTTTATTTTATTCGATATTTAAGTGCCATTGCCTAAACAATAAATTGAAGACATTCGCATTATCTATTGTCGGGACTGTTCGTTTCTTGTGAACCCTCAATCAACTTGTACTCTGTCATGAACTTCAATGTCGAGTAAGACTTGCCACCTATCCTTATATTTCACCAAGGATTCAATACCTCAACTCAATATCTAAAATTTAAGCTGAACTTGCTTTTACAGAGTCTGAAACGCTGGCTGACGTTTGCTGCAGGGTATTATAAAAATGTTTCTACTCAGCGACTTTTTTTCCGACCATAGAAAATGGGGAGGAACTAAGTATTCGGTTGTGTTTTAGTTTTTTTCTTTTTGTGTTCCACGCAAAATCAGGTACCACAAATAATCATCGGACTGGGTTAAGTGATATATCATATTGAAGCCTTTTCAGTCGTGATTCGAACGACGTTTAAAAATTTCCAAACGTTTTCCCAGTGTCGAAAAAAACCGGTTTGAAATTTTTGATTTTTTTGTCTTAATTCGAGCGAATAAAGCACGCAAGCAGTGTTTGGTTTTCCACGCAAAATCAGCTACCGCAGATAATCATCGGACCGGGTTGAGTGATATATCATTTTAAAGCCCTTTCATTCGTGATTCGAACGACATCGAAAAATTTTCCAGGTGTCGAGAAAAACCTGTTTGAAATTTTTGATTTTGTCTTAATTCGAGCGAATAAAGCAAGCGAGCAGTCTTTTTGGTATTCCACGCAAAATCAGCTACCACAGATAATCATCGGACTGGGTTGTGTGATATATCATTTTAAAGCAGACTTACATTAGCAGACATACATTAGTGAGCAGACTTACATTAGCTTGTTTATGCTTGATTTAAGCCTTGAAAAGTTAGTTTTACTCTAATAAAGTTAGTATTTAGAGTTGTTAGCTTCATCTTAAGAATCAAAAACTTCAAAAGTTGAGAAAATTTTGAGAAATTATTTTAAAAAAATATGTTTTTTGTTTTTCTTGGTAGTGGTCTTCAAAAATTATTTTCTAATTTGCATGTTTTACATGACTGACAAAAATGCCTACGCACTACTTTTTTGCTCAGATTCTTTTATCACAACAAGCCGAAAAAACGCCAATAATTGGAAAAATAAGTTCGTAAATTTTTAGGACTGGTCGTAACCTTCTGTGCTACTTGCTCAGTACCCAGCTGTCCTTGTTTCGATTGATATTTATTCCTTTTTTAACCAATTTTGGTTTTTTCATTGCTAATTATCTTACTTTTTTGCAGTAAAGGCCATATTTAATTTGTAAGTTGTCTGCTAATGTTATCATGGATTAATCGTAAAGACTTTCCATTCCTTTAATCTACGTAGTTAGAGGGTGAAAAAAAACGGGTTTAGCAGAAATTAAGGTTAAATAAATTCCGATTTCATTCGATCAACAGAATTACTCCAACTAAACTAAGGTGATTAACTACATTTAATGGCCATCTCATCAAGTTTTCAGCAAACTTCTTTTCTTTAGCAGATGGCTAGTGTAATAGATTGTATGATTGATCGCATTCATATGTACCAAACTTACGAGTACCGCGACAACTTGCAACAAAGGACAGCTCGCAAAAACGACAACTCGCAGTTTTGCAAGAACAAGACCACTCGCAAAAAGAGACAGCTTGCATAAAAGTCGAATGAAAATTGTTTTTTTTCCTTAATCTGATCGTGAAACAAAAAGCGGTAAAATAAAGTCTTTGAGGCGATCTGTGTATTTTATCTGTGATCATTTTTGTAAAGTATTGGGGGTTTAAATATTGCCATTTTGGCCCATCTGGGACAATTAACGCGCGATATATTTCGTGCTATTAACGCGTAAGCGAGAATTTAACCGTTCCAAACCGTTTCGTCTTAGGAATCGTTCCAGATTGTTTGAAAGAAGCTTATTTGCCATTATTGATTTGTTACAAGGAGCGAAATCTATCACTTTACTTTATAAGGCGTGTGCGGGGATGATTTTTACAAAAAAATTTTATTTGATTTTATTACATTAATTTTTTTTGTTATTACTGCTCTGTAGACCTTAAAAGGCAGTCGGAACATTCAGTGCTTCGCTCTGATACGAGCAGTCTTGTTGAGTTTTGAAATCGTTCGAAGTTTTCTGTTCTTTTGAATTTTCTGATTTCTAACAAAATATAAATGACTTATAAGTTCGAAGTTAAGCTCCAAAGACATTGTTCATTTCGAGCCCTTGTAAAAGTTTGTTCGCTCATTTGACCCCAAATTGACTGAATTGTGACTGAAATTTCAAGACAAATTTAATAAATAAGAATACTGATGCCCAATATTCGAAGTACAAATCTTCTTATGAAGTGAACAATGTGCTGCCCCAGAGAGGCAACAAAACTACTGGCCCTTAGGTAAAGTTTAACGGTAGAAATCTAGGCTGGCCATATTTCTTCTTCAGAAAAATGGCATAACGGTAATTTTGTTGTAAATACTGAGCTAGAAGGGAACTTCGAACTTCGCGATTTTGTTTTCTGGTTAATGCGAACACATTTTATAATTTAAAACGGTTTCTTCTGGTGTAAAAGCTTTTTTGTTAATCAGTTTTAGATGTGTAGTATGTGAGACAGCTTGTGTTGACGAAAGTAGATGTCTATAGATGGCGACCGCCTTTGACTATTCAATACACAATTCATCTGCGGCGGCTGCCAGCCGAATAGACAGTGGAATTGAGGTGATTTTGATTTTGTTGGACAGAAACAGTAGTACTTAAACGTTCAAAAAAAAAGAACTGGGTTCAAGTGCATAAGGTCTATATTATACTAGGAATGTTCCATTTTTTACAATTTCTTTGAACCAGTGCAGGGAGGAGATCGTTCACTTGGGTAAACATGATATTTTCAGTCAATTAGAAAGTTGGTTGAAATTGGCGTTATCTGTTAGCGGATGGTCATTCACTTTTATAGTTCCCAAAAAAATTAGTCATGGAAGATTCCTCGCATTTTCACAATTGAAATGATCAAAAATAGTTTTTAATGGTGCGTAGCTGCGAACAGCCAATTTTTGATCGATCGTTTTAGATCGATCGCAACTTGACTAGTTCCAGTCCCGCAATGTCTGACGAAAGCAGTGCTGGAAAATCTAAACAATGCAGTATTGATAGCGGCAGTAAAACTGCCAACGGCAATGTCAAAAAACAGACATCAGGAAACAAAGCAGTCCTCGATATCAAAACAACAGCGGCGTCTTCCGGTGGCTTTTCTGGTTCCGGATCTCAACACAGTAGAGGCGGAAGCAGAGGAGCCGCTGCAGGGGGAGGTTCAAATGGTGCTGCAAAGAAGAATCTCTTACCACACAGCCTGTGAGCTCTCATGGGTTCGAAAGTGGTCTGAAAAACATCTGAACTGAGTTGGCAGAACTCAAAAACTTGATGCTGTACCTGACATAAAATTTCTATGTTAGCGTTTCAGATCTTTCAGAATCTGCTATATGGGTTACCTAGAGTATGTGTTGCACCATCTTCACCTCTGACCCTTTTTCACATCAATAGTCCTAAACATGATTTGTGGATCAAGTAGATAAAGTTCTATGTTAAGATTGCTCTTTTTTGTTTAGTTCTGGAGAAGAGGACGACGGCTTTGCTTTGCCGCTGCCAGTTATTCAGCACAACGCAATGGGGAAGAAAGACGTTAGTACCACTTCTGAGTTTCCTTATGTTTCATTATATCAAGCAAAATTTTATGTTTATGTTAACCAAGTACCTTTTGAATCTGATTATCATTGCCCTCGGCTTTATTGTACAGGCGATATTTTGCTGTAAACTCTCGGCAGCACTGGAAATAAAG